CCAAATACCACTTACTTCTCTGCTGATCGCATTTTGTGTGCCGTAGCCAAGACGCCACCATTTAGGAGTTCCCATGAATTCCAGTCTCCGTTGTGTGGTAATTACATGTTTGTCAATGTTTTTAATGTTATTGATGATTAAGGAGTTGGCTTGGGATGGGCTCCGCCCTCTATGCACATGGGGTTCATATTGGGCAAACCGATCTGTGTGAGTGAATCTACTCAATGCCACTGGACTCAAATGTTGCGTCACACATTCACCAGTGATAAGGGGTTCTCATCACGCAAATCAACCAATGGTTTGTTCCCAAGAAACTTGCCTTTATAACTAGCGAAAGTGAAACAAAAAACGACATACTTTAATTTCAAGATTAAGATAAATGTGTAGAGGCTGAAGAACAGTCTAAAATTCACCGGTTACTCTTTTCCTTACAGATATCACAAGACCTGTCGCATATTTACCGTAGCTAAAGGCTATTAGACATTCTTCGCCAGTCGCTACGATCGAAGCAATTCTCATTCTGATTAACCATTTTTGCTGGGTAACCAATGACCTCGTCTCTTGCTGCGACAGCGCTGACGAACCCATTAGAATACGTGGATCTATCTATAAACACTAAACTGCTGTAGCATATTCCCTACTTTTTCGTGAACAACAAGAGACAGACAAAGTTTGTGAATCCAATACGACAAAACAAACGTTGTCTCAAGCAATAGCTGATGTGATCTAAATGTCGAGACGGACCTATCGTTGACGAACAGTATGTGTTAGGGCTTCGTAACTGCATTTTCAGCGACTGCTCACTTATCGGCGTGCGTTACCGGAAACCTTGAAGTGGCAGTTCTTCAACACATCCTTGTAATGGATCGGTCCCTCGTGATCTATCGTATGTAATCAATATTCACCATTCATTCATGTGTCCAGCATGCATGCTGCAAAGGCCAACTGCATCTGTGAATCCTGCGGCCGTGAATGGTGCTAGATAATCATATCACGCACCGTCTGTCACCGGCTGTACACAGCCGGTGATCAGATTGATCATGATTCCTAATCACGAGTAGACTGTCGTCCTTATACTCGTTCAATGGGTCGATAACTTTTGGGTCGTTTTCCACTTTGAGTACATTCTACTAACAAAATGCATAGAGAAAACGAGAAAGATGGACCCCCACCGAAGCGTCGTTTCTGTTACCAGAACGATTAGTGTGTTTTTAGCCTCTTCAGTCATTTCGAAAATAGGACGATCGCAAAAAATTTTTTATCCTACCTACCGGGAATTTTTGGTTGATATCGAACCACGTAACTTCACAATTTCGCCCAGCTGTCTACAATTCCATTTGAACAAACGTGATTCTACACGAGAAGTGCAGTTTAAAAGTGCCCTATTTCTTTCAAGGATTTTAGTGACTCAGAATGTCTCGATTCGTAGCCCACGCGAAGCACAACTAAGCAAGCTGCTGGCACATTAACCTGGAATCAAGTGTATTAAATACCCTAGGTGTCCATGGGACTTCGTTACAAGCGAGAAAGTTCCTACAGAAGAACGAAAACTCTTTTCAGTTACCAGGTTGTGTCATTTTCCCACCAATGCAGTGACTGATCTCACAAGGCGAATTTTGATCCTCGTGCTAACATTCCAAATGCTATACTGTATAAGGTAGGACGCCTTGACTGCTGTTACCGCTAACGTAAATTCCTCTCCTTGGAAATCTCCACGCCATCGAGAAAGGCAGCGTTGATGCGTTTCAGAAGAACATTTATTTGTAAGTAGTAGAGGGATTTGTTAGATATTTTGTGAAGCATCTTCGCAGTTAAACTCAAGCAGACAGGCACTACACATCCAGCAAATCGTTAGACTTCCGTTTCGTCCTATTTGGACTCCTCAGTAGCGCGCACCCGCCGAATCCTGCCGGATTCGAACCCACGACCTTACTCTTGCGAGTCAGCGAAGTATACCACTGAGACCTTGGCAACGGCAGCGGACAGCCATGACTGCTATTTAACTGCGATATAGTGGGGATCATCCTCCACTGCTGTGCATGTTATGCACGTGCAGAGCACAGGGCTGGCCCCCAGAGCCAAGACTTCCTTTGCAATCCGCCAACAACCGAGGTGGCATGTAATCCCCTAAGGAGACTACTGATTATTTGTAAGTCGTAGGGGGGGTTATTAGGTATTTTGTCAAGATTCGTCGCAGTTAGATATCAGTCATGGCGGTCCGCTGCCGTTGCCCATGGTTCAGTTGCCTAAGTTGTTAACTCGCAAGAGTAACGTCGGGGTTCGAATTTGGCAGACGTGCGCTACTGACGAGTCCCAATAGGACGAAACGGTCGTATAGCGCTTTCCTGGATGTGTGGTGTCTGTCTGTTTGAGTCTAACTGCGACGAATCTTCACACAACATGAACATTTGTTCAATAACCGTGTGTCCGCAACTCGGTGCACCTATGTCTTATTCGGCAAATGTTTCACGAGTCGATGTCTATGGTATTTTATTTCCTACTACAATTAAAACTGTTTCTACTAAAAATCGAATTTAACTTTTTCTTTCTTTCACTAGTATATCTTCCACGTATGAGACCGGCATTTATCCTAGGGCCTATCACATTCACCAATTCACTCATACACTCGTTTAATTGCCCGGGTAATTTGAGCGATCAGTAAGTCACCATTAACGCTCGGTGGCAATAATTGATTACTGTATATATCACGGTGAACACTTCATCTAACGGCCAGTTACTAAGGAGGCGTCCATACGTTAATTAGATAGCTATGGAGTCACTGAATGCCGATGGATTGGTGTTAGCACTCCTCGATTGTTTGATTACATCATACTAGCGATTTGGCCCCTATTAGTACCCTTCCTGTAGAAAAGTTTACTGTGCCAAGCGCTGCTTGGGAAGACTTGTGGCCTATCTATACTATGTACCAACCTTCTGGAGTCAACATCGAATTCTTTGAAGTGGAAACTGATGGATGACTTGAGCCAGTGAAACCCTATACTTAACCACCTCAGTATTCTGACTAAACCCTCCAACTAGACGAGAGTCAACCTCCACCCGAATTCCAAGCAAAATGGCGAAGCCAAGCTTCTTCGGATTGTACTAAATTCTGTTCGACTGCTCGTCTCCAGCACGAATTCGGTTTGGTCCGCGTCTTTGCAGACGTTCCATTGGGCGAGCGCAATGAAGCGAAGCAGAGCTCAGAAGAATTCCAGCTAAACGATACAGCCAGAACCGTTTTGTCTACAGCGTCCCCCAGTCTCATGAGCAAGATGAATGCGAAACAGAGGCCTACGACCAGGAGCAGTGGCGCTAAATTCGTGAGAGTCTGCTATTGAATGACGTTGTAGCTACTTCTGTCTCGAAGCTGCCAAGATCAGAAAACTACAAAGGGTGCGGTCCAAGGATAATTAAAGTTGTGCTACAAACTAGGAAGATGGCACTTACGCTATTGGGACGCTGGTATTCACTTCGGAACAGACTGTCAACTGAGCTCCGGTTCATGGTGGTGAGCGAAACTGTCGTCCAACATAAAGCACCACCACAGCAGACGAACGAAATAGTGATCGTATCCGAAATTCACATCGGTAGCATGCATGAAGGAAGTGAGGATCTTCCTGCGCAATCCTGCAGTCACCCCCCCCCCATGCATTGCGCAAACTGAGTTGTCAGAGGTGCTAATCACGATTCCACTGAACCTAACTCCAAGCGACTCGCCGATAATGCCACAAAAACACGGCTAGCGGCCGACCATACGACGGTCGGCATGACCTCTCATCCTAGTCACAAGTGTTTCGGATCGCTGCTGAGAACCGAAACACTTTTCTGCATCACACGGGTGTCCAAGGCCTCCTCAGCAAAATCGCCGAGCTTCGGTTGCGCCAGGCAACAAATGCTTGGGATCTCCTCTCCATAACCGAGGCTTGGTTGCACTCAGGGTTTACGGATGCCGAGATCGCGATTCAGAGAATGTCCATATTTCGACACGATCGTCCCAGCAGGGAAGGTGGTGCTATCGGATACTATCGTAACAACTTACAATGCGAACCACTGGATGATCCGGATACGCAAGTCACCGATTCGCTATGGTGCTGTTTGCGTCTCAGACACAACGACAACCGCTTCGTGGCAGTCATATATCGCCCCCATCGCCCGCTTCAGAGATGGATTCCCACCTAATATCGTCACCCACGAAATGCTTACTCCCAACTTACAGCCACGGTTTTTCTCCGGCGTTTTCAATGTGCATGACTTGGAATCCACGGCATCTCCTAGCGCAACAGTCAAGGCCGAGCTGCAAGAATTTATCGCAAGTATACCGCTCTACAATCACACCACCTCACCCACCAGGTATAAAGCTGATAACAAACCATCGGTGTTGACCTCATAGTTACAAATGAGGAACTCATGGTCGACAGGCTATTTATAGACACGCCACTAGGGTTAAGCGATCATTTCACCATACTTTATAACTATATGTGTTACACTGAAGATCCGGAGGAACAGATAGAACTAATACGTATTATCATACATTACAACCTCCTGAACGACCTAGTTAAGACGACTGATTGGGAATTCTTGGTAGGTGGCTTACCTGACAGCGTATGGATTCAGTTTGTTGGAAGCTTCAGCAATCTAATCGCAAGTGTTTCAGTAACGAAGATGGTTCGCTCCACCACTCCCTTGTCTTTCATCAGAAGTAGAACCCGCAAACACATGTCACTAAGGAATGCAGCTTGGTACACTTACAGAGCTCTTCTTGGTCCCGAAACTGTCGCAAAACTCGGTCCTTCAGGGACAAACGGTTTATTCAGCTAAGCGAGCTCAGCAAAATTGACAGCCTGACAAGTATTTAGGAACCTCGATATAAATAACTAAGTCATTTCCATAACTAACGACGCTGCTTCCTCTGAAACAGTTAAATAAACCCGCTCTGGTGAACCAATCAGCGCGTAGACGAAATATGCGCAGGCGTCCAATCAACTGCTCTGTTTGCTTGCACAATCCTATCACATCCTTCCCTTTTTCGAGTTCAGCTGGTTCGGTGTCGCCGAAGACTCCGTACGCTCTTCCGCTCCGCGTCGTCTTTGCTGCCTCTGTCGTTGTGACCTCTCCATAAGGCGTCAAGTGTTTTGCTGCAGGTTCACCTTCACATATTTGGTGTCGCTTCAGCTGCACTCGGTTCCTTTTGATTATCTTCCCTTTGCTACTGATTTCATAAGATCTTTCTCCAACCTTCGCGGTCACCACACCTTTCTTCCATCGTTCGCTGACACCCGGTATTGGTTGGATATAATCTTCATCGTTTACTGATAGCTCCGGTAGCGCCCGGGTCCCGCGGTCGTAATACTGTTTCTGATCTGTCATCCGTTTTCTTAAGCGCCTTTGCAGTCGCTCATACGATGGCGCGACAGGGTACAAGAGTTCAACAGTGGCAAGCATTGGGGTGCTTGTCCTTCTGCTGTACAAACGTTGCACTGGACTTAGACCGATGTCCGGTATTGGCGTATTGCGAACCTCCAACAACATTAGATACGGGTCCTCATAAGTGGCTCCGGTTTTCGATAACAACTTCTTGGCTTGTTTGACTTGCTGCTCTGCTTTTACTTTAGACTTACCGTGATACGGGCTAGTTTGCCGATTTGAAAATTCCCACTTGTTCGCGATGGTCTGGAACGCAGCACCAGTAAATTGCGGGTCATTGTCGTAGATCAGTTACTTCGGTCTGGCGAACTGACATCTAAACTTGTTGATGACTGCTTCTGTGGTGGCAGCGGTGAGTGGATCGATCTCAAAATAGTCACTGTAATAGTCCACATTGATGAAATCGTCTTTCCCGTTGTCACAGAACAAGTTCACCACTACCTTCTGCCATGGTCGATCTGGAATCTTAGGCAACATCATTGGTTCCTTGGCTTGGCGAGCGTCGTGGGACCGGCAGGTTGAACAACTTGATACATGGTCTCGGATTTGACTTGTCATCCCGGGCCATAATATCAGTTCGCGTGCTCTACTACTATTGTAGTTGACACCCAACTGGGCCCGAGGACCGTGTTCTACCACTCTTTGTGAAGCGGCGGTGGGATCAAATTTTGATTTGCTTTAAACAACAAACCGTCGTACACCGTTAGTTTATCCCGAAAGTTGAAGAACGGCATTAATTCCTTCGGAAGTGTATCCTTCGTATCTGGCCATCCTTACAAAATCACGTCGCGCGATGCCACGCTTGTCGCGTCTGACTGCGTACGCTGCTTTATCTCTTTCAGACGATCTTCTGTTGCCGCAAGATGTCGTACCAGATTGACGTCCTCGAGTTCTTCCTGTTGATGTTCCACTATCGGGAGATGACTTCTCGGCAGAGCGTCCGCGATGAACATTTGCGTCCCCCGAGTGTGTATCAGATCCATGTCGTATTTTTGGTGTCGGAAAAGCATCCGTTGAGGACGTCGAGGAACACTGTGCAACGGTTTACTAGCTATTGACACAAGTGGTTTATGGTCCGTATACACTGTAGTCTTCCTTCCAAATGTGTAGTCGCTGAAGCGCTCCATTGCGTAAACGATGGCAAGCATCTCCTTTTCGATCTGTGCACAACACTGTTCCGCCACTGTGAGGGCCGAAAGCGAAGTTCAAGGGTTTACCATCCTGTAGGAGAACGGCACCTATTCCGCTTTGGTTGCTGTCATACTGCACCTCCAAAGGTAGAGCTGGATCGTAATAACCAAGTACTGGTGCACACCTAGTAAGACTTGATGCTTGTAAAGGCTGCCTCCTGCTCTTCTCCCCAACCACTTCAAACCTTTGTGAGTCAGTCTGTGAATTAACGTCATGATTTCAGGATGTCTTGCCACGAAACAGCTCAAATCATTAACCATGCAATTTAAACGACTAACAGCTTTGGCGTGCTTAGCTTGTGGCATCTCCTACACTGCGTTGATTTGCCTAGGATCGATCTTTATTCCCTCGGATGTCAGAACGTGCTCGTGGAAATTCACTTCCGGTTTCCGGAGCTCAACTTTCTCACATTTGAGCTTTATGTTCTTTTGCACATATCCCTGCAAAAAGTGGTGCAGATTGGCGTCATGTTTCTGTTCGATTGAGCCGTAAATCAGTAGATCGTCTGCGACACATGTTACACCATCTAAATTGTCAACAGTTTGTAATGACCGCTTTTGAAAAATTTTCGCTTGAAAGGTTCAAACCAAACGGGTAACGTAGCCAACGAAAGCGTCCGAAGGGTGTGGCAAACGTCATCGGGCAACTGGATTCCCCATCTAGGACCACGTGCGAGAACGCCGATGAGAGCTCAACTTTCGTGAAGTACTTTGCCTTAACCAAACGCGGCAGGGCATCTTCTAACCTTGGCGGTGTATAGTGTCCTCTATGCAAAGCTTCATTCAACGGCTTAGGATTTATGCACAGGTTCAAATCACAGTCCATTTTCGTAACAATCGCGACTTGGCTAACCCTGTCTGTCGGCTCATCGACTTTAGCGATTACGCCCAATTGCATCAAGTTACCTCATTTGGTGGCGAACTTATCACCTAATTCAAACGGAACATTTCTAGCTGGCAGCACAATCGGTCGTGTTGACGGATCTATCGAGAAATGAACGGAACCTTTAAACCCCCCCAAACCTGGATTAAACACGGACGAATACTGTTCACTGACATCTGTCTCCGCTTCACACACATGTAAAAACCGTCATGGTTAAAATGAATAAAGCCAAGACATTGGATGGAATCAATGCTGAGAATCGGTGTGAGCTCTTGGTCCACGACCACGAAATTCAACTGGGATTGATCACTCTGATTGTGGCCAAACCTTTCGGCTGGAGCTTGGAACCGTTCCACATGTGCTGGGCTCGTTGATCAGGGCGCACAAGAATTCCTGGACACCTCTTCGCTGGAATTATGTTACTGGTAACACCCGAGTCTAACTGCAAATGCACCATCTCGTCACCAACCAATAAACTGACATAGACCCACTTTTTTGGTTCTGTGCTCGATACGTAGCTAATTGAATGTTCAGAGTCGGAGGGTGCATTCACCCTCGAGAACTGACAGCATCGAGCGAAATGCTTTCGGCTGCCACATCTGGCGCAAATTCGATCCCACGCCAGACATGTATCACGATCCTTCGGGTGTTGCGCGGCGCAGAATCTTCAAGTTTCGTGGGATTTGATAAAAGGCTTCGCAACTTTGTCAGGTAAACTGGATCCTGCACCCAGCTGTGCTTCAGTCAGCAACCGCATTTTCTGGATGGGATGTGCAGCTGATGATTCACTGTGGCATATATCAAGACATTGTCTGAACCATTATTGCCGTTGCCGCAACAACCGCTTGGGGAAGTTTTCATCATTGATCCCAAGCACGATTCTATCTCGGATGAGACTTTCAGCCATATAATTGCAAAGATTACAGGAAACAGCCAAGATCTTTAGCTCCGTAACATACTTCTCGATAGTTTCATATGGGCGCCAATTTCGGGTAAAATAGCGATACCGCCGATACGTCTTGTTGGTCTGGCCTTCGCAGAAATCATCAATTTGTCAGACGACCGTTTCCAGATCAGCTTGGTCTTCGTCCTTTTCGTACTGTATTATTTCCATGACATGATGGGCTTCATCATCGATCGTATGACTAAACAACGCCAATCGAAACACCATCGGTTATTCATTCAGCCGCACCAGCAAGCAGCAATCGATCCACTTGCTTTTTAAGATTCTCCAATTACCGGCCAAATGCTGTTCTTCCATGTTTAGTGGGCAGGTGGTTGCACAGCTGGTTGCGCTCCAATCAGCAACTGAGCACTATTGGGTGATCTTGGCTTGGTTTTCTCTGACACCATGTCGTAGAACTCTGTCATTCAAGGACAAAAGGTTTAGTCATCCAAGCGAGCTTAGCAAAATTGACCGCCTGACAAGCGTTTAGGAACCCCGATATAAATAACTAAGTCAGTTCCATAACTAACGACGCTGCTGCACTGATGAGATTCTTCTTTTGAAGCAGTTAAATAAACCCGCTCCAGTGAACCAATCAGCGCGTAGACGAAATATGCGCAGGCGTCCAATCAACTGCTCTGTTTGCTTGCGGCACGCTTGCCGATCGCTTGCACAATCCTATCACAGAAACATAGAGCGATAACGTGGCCCAGCGCAACCATCGTCATATGCTTGTCCTTAAGGACACATTGACTCACCAACAAAATTTGGCTTGTAAATTGACCAAAAACAAAAATCTCCCATACAAGCATGTTAACACCAGTTGGAAAGTGAAGCTCGGTATCCCCCATTTAATACGGCAGTCGAAGTGGCAGAGAGTGCTGAAGAGGCAGTCAACGCCCTAGGAATACACTATGCCCCAACCTTCAAACGAGACTTCCGCCACTGTCAACTACCCACATCCCTAGCCCAATTTAAACACTCACTAACATCGGCTTTACTGCCACAGCTGTGTTGAAGAAACTGCTCTCACTACGAAGCTACAGCTCTCCTGGAATCGACTATATTCACGCGAAGGCGTTGAACGTAGCAGCAACAACGCTGGTCGGGCATTTGTTCTAAACGATGTTGGATAAGCGAATCGTGCCTACCGTGTGGAAACATGGCGTAATCACTCCAATTTTTAAAACCGGTAATCGCTCGGAACCCGCCAACTATCGCCCAGTGGTCCTCCTCCCTGTGCTCTCAAAGCTGATGGAGGAAATCATCGCTAAGGCTTTAGTATACCATCTAGAACGCCACAACCTCATGGCACCCGAGCAACACGGTTTTCGCCAGCACCGTACATGTACTACCAACCTACTGATTGCACGCAGTAGTTGGACGGAAGCGGCTGATGAAGGCGGAGGAACAGATGTCAGTTACCTCTACCTTCGACCGACTGGACCACTGCATTCTACTTCACAGGCTCGAAAACTATGGAGTTAGTGATCCTGTACTTGGGTGATTCAGGAATATCCTGCAGCATCTGCACCTGCAGGTTAGAGTTCGAAGGGCGTTGTCCGATCTGATTTATGGCGAATGTGGGGTTCCACAAGAATCAGTTTTGTGGCCGCGTCAGTTTCTCGTATTCGTTAAAAAGCTTATGCGTTTGTTTGCCTCAGATTTCTTGTTGTTCGCTGATGATGTTAAAATGTGGCGGACGATCCTCGACCCAGGAAATCACGATGCACTTCAGCGAGACCTGAACGGAGCGTGTGAGTTGTTACTCTACCATCTGCTCCAGTTCAATTCCAGGTAGTGTAAGATGGTTCACATTCGCCACCAGCCGAACATCACATCCAAGCTTGGAGAACATGCCCTGCAAGTAGTCACCCAGGAGCGCGACTTTGGGATACTAGTCCAAGCTGATCTGGGCTGTTCAGAACAATCGGAGAATGCATCAAAGCTTGGGAACCAACATGTTGGCATACTGCGTAGGACATCCGGGCGGTTTGATGCATCTGTCTGTTCGCAGTTGCTTAACAACTACGTGCGGCCTCATGTAGAATACGCAATCTAGGCTGGCACAAGCAAAAGGTTGCAG